CAGTTTCCCAGTTACCGCACAGTGTTTTCTAAGGATGCTCAGAAATGGGCTAGGCCTCTCTGTTTAGGCTCACTCCAGAACCCACCTACTACCAAGTGAAGGAGCAGTGGGCGGGAAGTGCGGGAGGTGAGGGAAGAGCAGCACCAAGTACTGTCCAGCTACCGTGCTCTTGACCTGTGTGAGGTTTCACACACGCTGTCAGCTCTAGGGGCAAGGACTGCCTTACATATATATGCCAGTGCCAGAGGGTGCTCATAAGTCCCACTGCAGGGCTTCATGTTCTGGCTCACACTGAAGGCTGGTTCTCAGGTTCCACACCCTCTGTGATCCTGGGGAAGTAGCCAGGCTGAGGTAGTCTGGAAGGTCTCAGGGCAGGCCTAAATATCTTCACCACATGACATTTTCCACGTGACAATGTAAAGCCGGATGAGAAGTGGTTTGACGTGGAAGCTGCTTTAACTTTTAACTTTTTCCTCTGTCAAGCCCCAGGAGAAGAAGCATCAAGCATAGGCACATTGGTAACCAGGCTAGAAAAGCCATCCATCAGACTGCAGAGACCTGGACCTTTTCTGCAGTGTGGGTGGGGAAAGGGAAGCTTCACTGGTTTCCTGGGAAACAAGGTAAGTGGCACAAGAACTGCAATTCAAGGGGAAGGAGTTGAGAGGTCAGATGCAAGAGAGACTAGGCTAGCTGACCCGCTGAACTCTCGTGTTCTGTTCTAAAAGGGGACTGTCATAGTAGCCCCTCCACCCCTCCAGCAGGGAAGCACTACCTAAAAGGAGCCAGGGAAGGTGCTGCAAGATTTGGCAGGTAAAACTGCACGTGGCCAGAATCTGGGGAACTCCTTGTGGTTTGTACGGGGGTTGAAGATAAGCAGCCACTGACTTCCTGGGCACGATGGAGGGAGGAGTGTCAGAATTTCTCGGGTGCACGTGTGTGTGAAAGCACACGCAGGAGCACTGTACTGGCTGGTACTTGGTGCTGTTATTCCCTCACCTCCCACTGCTCCCTCACTCGGCATTAGTTCTGGAGTGAGCCTAAACAGAGGCCTAGCCCACTCCTGGGCATCTTTAGAAAGCACTGAGGTAAGTGGGAATCAGGCTTGGCACAGACTAAAGTAGAAGGGAGAATTGCAGGTAATCTTCCCCTGACCTGTTCTCTTTACCAGCTTTAGCCCCTTAGCCAAACTGGCAGCCATAGCAAACACTGCTCTGAAAATATGGGAAAAGTATCAAGAGAGTAGCCAAAGATTTGCATGTTGTGTTTGGTAGAATGCAGCCCAATTTTTGGTAGGCTGTATCAAAAGGCGGGGATTGCATTTCACTGTCCCATGCAGTGCCTAGGACACACTAAACTGTCAGTGAATATTAATCTCTCCATCAGATGAATCTCCTTTTAGCCTAACTAAGGTGGTGACCATTCACAACATGAAAATATACTGCTAATAAAAAAAATACCGTGGAAGTGAGCTGCTCACCACCAATTTGTTCTTTAAACCAATCCAAACATTTTTCCATAGTATAGTTAGTACGCTTGAATCTGACTTTCAAGAGAACTCTATAGGGAGGCAGCTTTCCTCTCCAGGGATCCAGGAAGCCTTCCTTATCTACAGGTTTTAGCCCTGGATCATGGAATTTCTGAACTCTCTACTGTCAAAGCCTCAGTGACAGTTTTGTTTTTTTTTTTAAGATGTCAGGGATCAGCAACCTATGGCCCATGGGCCAACCATCCTACTGCCTGTATTTGGATGGTCTGTGAGCTAGGAATAGTTTTTGCATTTTAAAATGGCTGAAACAAATTGAAACATAGTAAGATAAGAAATTCAAATTTCAGTGTCCATAAATAAAATTTTATTAGGACACAGTCACAATCATTCACTATTGTATTGTCTACAACTGCTTTCCTGCTTGTTGTTAGGTGCTGATCAGTCAATTCCAAGTCGGTGACCTCATGTTACACAGTAGAACTGTTCTATAGGGATTCATAGGCTGTAATCGTTACAGGAGTAGATCACCAGGTCTTTTCCCCCTGCAGAGCCACTGAGTTAGTTCAAACTGCCAACCTTTCAGTTAGCAGTCACGTGCTTAACTATTGCACACCAGGGCTCTTTGCTTTCCTGCTACAACAGAGACTATATAGCTTGCAGAGCCTACAATATTTACTACCTAGCTTGTTAGAGAAAAAGTGTGCCTGCTCCTGGACTGTCTTCATGCCTAGATATGAATTCTAACTGGGCTCTTATAACAACATTTAAATACTGTCTCCCTAGACAGACCATACCCTTCTGAGGTACAGTGAGCCCCACCTGCAGGCTGAAAAGATAAATAAACCAGTCACAGACTATGTCAGAACAGAGACTCAAGCCAGGTTTAATGATCATTGTCTAGTTTTCAGAGCCCAGAGGCTCCAAAGTTTGCCAGCCTGGGTGTACACAAGTGGAAGCAACAGGGTCCTGGACACAGGGAGGCCTACTTACTTTGCCAGCAGGGCTACAAGTACAAAGGTAAGAACACACAGAAAACTGGAATCAGTCTGCTTTGTTTTACCCAGCTGGGGTATGCTCTCCTGGCCCCTTTCTAGAAGTCCCAAAAATACAGGCAAAAAAAAAAAAAAAAATCACAAATAATCACATAGACTGATTACAGACCCCTGTCATACTCTGTCTTCAGGGATACCTACTTCCTGGGAGACATGTCTGGTTTATGGCTATGGGGTAGCATGAGGGGAGGAAGTGATCTCTCAGCCTTCTCTTATAACCAGACCTGGAGTTTTCTACACAGGATTCTAGTGACCTTACATAATGCTGATTACTTAATCCCCCAGGTAGACAGCAATCTTTGGGTTCCATCAACCGAGACCATGAAAGAGGATGCTTATCAGTTAAATCTCTTGGTGGGGCAGCCAGGCACATCCACCAGCTCTCTCAAACTTGGGGCCAAACTAGCGGATCCAGTTTGGGAGGGAGTAGGGAAACTTACAGCTACAGGGCCTTTTCTTACTCCCTAAACTGCGTAGGCCATTTGAAGAACATGGCCCTCCTAGTCCTCAGGAGATCATCTGGAATGCCCCAGAAGGCCTGCTTCATTTGACATTCACTTTAAAGATTTTCAGAGCCTTAACTTCAGTGGTGCCTAGAGGGGAAACTGCAGCATGAAAGTGACACTTTCCCAGGTTCCCTGATAAATCTGAAGAGAGTCCTGGTTTATATCTCTAGTACCAAAATCCTCAGAAATCTCTTGAATATAACTGGATAACTTTTCCCTCCTGCCCCTATTTTACCAGAGCACTTAACATACAAAAAGCAACTCACAGTTGTTTGGCCCTCTGCCAGCTTGCTTCTGGGACCTTTACTGACCTAGTTCTAGCTTAATTTCTCATACATATTGGCTGTAGTCTAAGGGAGGTTTCTGAGTTTGAGGAACCAGCTAGCTCTTTACTACCCTTTCCTCCCAGGGGCTTCAGCCTGAGTGTCCCCTAACTCCAGCCTTTGCAGAGAAGTGATTCAGTGTCATAGAGATGTGGGTGACGCTTCAGGGAGTTCAGAGATCTAAAGTACTAGAGATTGTGTATTTGACAAGCCTGGCATGGTCACTGTCTCTCCTATAGGGCAGGAAAATGGAGTGCTTAAAGTTGCGCACATAGGTGGAGACCATTCTGAGAGTGGACATTAGTGAGAACTAAAGAATCACTGCCCTGATGGAAGTCAAGGTGCTGTGTGCATGCATACCTATAAGCATGCATACCTATGAGCATGCAAGTACTTGAGGGAAATGCTGCACCTCCCTTTCTCTCTCTCTCTCTCAAACTAGGTCACTAGCAAAGGATGGACAGCAATCTTCAGATCCTAGGAACAGATAAGAGGAAACTGTTTAGTTCTAGTCCCCTCCCCCAATCTTAACAGGCAGCTGCAGTTAGGCCCTCCTAGCCAACAGCCTCACCCTCAGTGAATAACACCTCTTAGAAACCAAAGAGCAAGATGGATAACTAGAGGTTCTGGAGAAATTCCAATAGACAGAGAACGTGGGGGGAGAGGAGAGAGACTGAAAAGACCAACATCAGAGAACATTTTCACCTTTGCCCTCCTCACCCCACTGCCAGAGCTCAGAGCAACTACCTCCCAGGACCTGAATTATAGTCAAAAGGAGATGTGAAAGGGAACTGTCATCTCAATACCCAAAGTATTCTCCAACAGTGCATGGAATGTTGGGCTCATTCTGTGGCATTCCTCTGGCCTGACAACCACAACTGCATAGACCTGTGGCTGAAAGGGATGGAAGGGGACAACTTTCTCTTCTGAAAGTTTAGTGCCACTGACTGTCTCTGCCACAGGATGGCCTGCAACCTTGTAGAGAGGACAAAACTCTAAGCCACATTTCATGTTGCCATTTGGGGCAAAAATGACCCAATTCCAATCCCTCAGATGAGGAAATCCCATGCTCTGGCTTTGCAGTAGGGGTGAGACCTCTGAAAGCAAGGCAACTTTGTCAACATTAAAGGATATATATACCTGGTCTCCTCTATCCCCAAGCCTAGTGAGGCCAGACTTTCCTGAGCTCTTTCTCTTTGCAGAGCAGCATATTAGGGAAAACTGAGAATTCCGTCTAAGCTTGATAAGGAGACTTGATAAGAATGAAGAGATGGCATACACAGAAAATCAGGTAGGTCTAGCTGGATGCTACATAATAGAGGCTGGTTTATCTTGATCCCTCTAGGGTGAAGTGGCCCTACATCCCCCATGTCCCTGGCAAGTGTCTGTAAAAGCTCTGCCTTCAGCAGCTCCCAGCCGGGTCTGCTACACAGGTGCAGGGAATCAAATGCTCATCAAGAGTTTCACAGACCAGGGAATTACCTTATCTGGAATTTACCCCCCATCTACAAGTTTTGTGCTGGCACCCATGTTTTTACATGGACCCCAAATGCCACATTTCACTCTGCTGCCATATCTGACAGGCAGAAGACCAGGACTCCTACCAAGTTCCATGTATCTAAGGCCAATTGAGAAAGAAGGCATTAATGGGAAGTCTCAAAACAGCTTTGGGGAGCATTACTGATTGAGGGCTTAACCTTTCCTGACTCATGCTCCTAATGTTTTCAGTTCCCCAGCTGTGACGTGTGACTTCCTGGCCAAAAGAAGATACTACAGCTGTTCCCCAATGTGCCTCCTGTGGCAAGCCACCCCTCCCCCCACAACATCACAGGTGTGGGTGGGCAGAGAAAACAAATAACGATTTTTTTTTTTTTCCAAGTGATTTTCTCTTAAGGAGCTAGAGATGATCTTGAAAAAGTTTAGGGAATCTACTTTTTCACTCATCCCTTCCTCATTCCCATCCAACTCAAGACACACTTCTCCTCCTCTACCATACTCAGAATTACCAGGGCTTTGGGTAGGGGTGTAGCCTTTGCCTGAGGATTAATATATCCATCCATATTTGAAAATTATGGCAGTCACACCCTGGTTGGGGTCTTGCCTGCTGTTGTACCTGTCACTAATTCCCTTCAGGTCAGGGGGAACCCACTCCCTTGGGCAGCCAGCCCTCTCTTCCATCCCCCTCATATTCTTCAGGGGTGCATTACCTCTCCTGGGGCAGAATCTCCCCACCAACCCATGCTGATCACACCACAATGGGCGTATCAGAGAAGACTGAACTGACTGATTCTGGATCCGACATCCTCCGCTGGCCCTTGCCGGTCACATCAGGCACCGGCAGGGTGTTGCCTGGCTTGAGCTTGCCGTTTTGACCCTGCCCAGGTCCAGTAGGTTCCAGGAAGGCCACCCGCCGATCAAAACCATCATCCTTGTCCCCACCAGCCATAGGGTCATGGTTGGGTGTGGTGCTAAGCATGGAAGAGCTGAGGCTGTCTCCCTGATGACTAGAAGGTTTCTCTACACCCCGGCACCAGCAGCGGCAAGGGGTGAGATACAGGTATATGAGGACCAGGACTACACTGAGGATGCAGCCCACCAGGGTGGTATAGGCTGTGTTGAGAGTGTCATGGTGTCCATGCAAAGTGAAATTATATACTTTTAACTCCACAGACAGTGTCTCATTGAAAGCCTCCCCTGTGGCGTAGCAGGTATATACACCCCCATCCTCAACCTGCACCTTTTGTAATACAAGGCTGCCATCCTCAGACACTCTCACTGTCCCATTGGTCACCTTATCTAGCACCCGTTCATTGCTTGGTGTCATCCACACCTTGGTCATTCCCTGCTGCTTGGTGTCACACTTGATGGTCAAGCTGTCACCCAAGTGGGCCTCCCAGGCACGCTCCTTGTACTCGCTGCAGTTGAGGAAACTCAGGTTGAAGACATTGTGCAGCTTCTTGGAGCTCATGCAGTACAGATCCTCCTGAAAGTCCATCACGGAGCTCAGCTGCCGGTACTGCCAGTGTGAAAAGAGCTGGTACAGCTCACAGTTGCAGTGAAGGGGGTTGTTATGCAGGTAGAGCCCATTCTTGATCCATGCAGGCAGCTTTTGCAAGTCAGGCAAGGGTAAGTTCTTTAGCTTGTTAGAGGAGAGATCCAGGAGCGTTAGTTTGGGTAGCTTGCCTCCTTCCTTGACCAGTTCTAGAGGAAAGCGGGAGATCTGGTTCTGGCTCAAGTAGAGTTTCTGCAGCTGGGCCATGTCATCAAAGGCGTAGCGGTCCACTTCCACGATGTGGTTGTTGTAGAGCAGCAGCACCTCCAGTGCCTGCAGTTCACTGAACAGGTTCTCGTCCAGTGTATGCAGCTGGTTGGAGGAGAGGTCTAGGTAGCGCAGGTTGGGTACTGGGGAAAAGGCCTCGGAAGAGATGAAGTTCAGGTGGTTGTGGTTCAGCAGCAAGGAGTGCAGGTGGGTCAGGCGGGTGGGGGTCCACTCAGCCCGCAGGCGGCTCAAGTTGTTGTGGCTGAGGTCTAGTAGTGCTGTGTAGCTGGGTAGGGAATGGGGCACGTTGGGCAGCTGCTGCTTGGAGCAGCTGAGGATGTTGCTGGCACACAGACAGGCGGCAGGACAGCTTACCGCTGGACGGCCAGCTCGGGACACCCCAAAGAGGAGCAGGAACAAGGACAGCAGCAGGAGCCAGAGGCCTCGCAAGTCACGCTGGGGTTGCATAGTGTCACTGGGGAGGGTGAGGAAGGCCATGAGGAAGATCGGGAGGGCGTCACCCAGGCATGTTCTGGTGGGGTAAGGAAGGGTCACTTTCACTACAGACTTAGAGGAAACACGATGGGTTTGTGGTCACCAGGGACTTTGGAGGGCGGGTCCAACTCTCCCTCCCACCTCCACCCCCACCCCGTTAGGCTTGAACAGAAAGGAGATGCTGGGTAGATAGTTCCCAGGGACTGTGTAGGTAAGAGACTCAAAACACTGGGGCAGAGGAGACAGTGAACACAAGGACCTACTGGATGGAACAGAGGGTGTAGCATGGGTGTATATGCGGAGTGTTAAAGACGATCGGGAATCATAGGGATTTCCTGGGTCTGGTTTGGGGGCAGGGTCAGCAGGGCCTACCGGATGAGTTGAGGGAAGGTCAACGGGGCACCGGGGCCCGGTAGGGCGCGTCCTGACGGGGTTGAGGGTCGCCAGGGCCTGTCAGGGAGGGCACCCCCCGGGGCCTCTGCACCTGCTTGAAGAGGTCGTATCTCAGCCCATGGCCAGTCCGGGAGCTCCGTCGCGGCCTCCCTGGGCGGCGTAGCACCAGCCGGCCTGTCACGACGCCCGCCTTGCGCAGGGGCCCGCACCCGGCAGCATCGCCTTCCGTGGATTCAACCGGCTCCGCTCCGCTTCCTCGCGCCGCCGCCTCGACCGCTGTGCCCGCCGCAGCCCAGCCACCACGTCCACCGCCTCGG